TCATCAGATGAAGCAGATATTGGTCAGACCTTGGTGACTTGTGTTGAAAACCTGTCAGCATCGAACAATGTGGGTTCTTCCTCTGGGTTTTGATTTTGAAATTAAAACCTTAACTAAGAATCGGTCAGTGAAGAAAATGGTGTGAAACTAAGAAAAACTTTAGTTCGCTATATCCGAAATATTTTCACATAATTCAGAATTGTGTTCTAAAATCTTATCTACATGTACATTTCATATATTAAATAAAATTAGCTAGAACATGTTTATGGTTGTTTCTCTGCTCCCATGACATCTTCGAGTGAGTTCAATATAAAAAATCATCCAAATGCACTAGTATGATGTAATTTCTGTTGATCGTAGACTAATTTTTTTTCGCTTTACTTCCGTGTTCGCTATATCCGTGTTCTACTGTAAAAAAAAAGTATCCTAGCTATGATTACATCTTCTTCAGACATCCAAATACACTACTTCTATGTATGTACTAAGATGCCAGAAAATTCTAAAAATATCCTAGCTATATTCTCAAAGGATGATGATTCTATAATCAGCCTGATCCTTTGTAGCAATTTCCAGATCATCCTGTCTAAATCTAGCACAAGTCTAAATATAGACCACTGCTGCCCCTCACTGAATATCACATGTATAATGTATTACACTCGGAACAGTGTCAAACATTGAATAACACTAACTCATAACAATGTCAATCACTGGATTGTCTGGCGCAGAATGGATATTTCATAGGCTGCCTTTATGTGAAAGGGATTTTGCATACACATGCTTTAAGGAGGTTGCATACTAAATATCAAAATGTCAAGAAATTGCTATATTTGGTGTCATTTTGTAGAAAAATGTGTCCCAAATCTAATTATGTAATAAAAATAGCAAGTCACCACGGCATTTGTTTGACAAGTGGCGCCCCCTTGTGGCATTGTCTGTAAAAAGTTATATGTCAATAAAAGTTCACTTAAAAGTAAATTGTTTACTTTTATTATTCAATATGTGTTTTTATATAAAGATATTTCAGTATTGATAGGAAATAAAGCTGGAAAATCAATTTTCAAGGCAGTATGTAGGATTTGACACTTTAATTAACTTCTAAACAACGACCGCCTCTGTGTTGTAGTGGTTAGAGCGTCCGCCCGTAGAGCGGAAGGTCGCAGGTTCGATCTCCAACCGCGTCATACCAAAAGACATTTAAATATGTTCTTGTTGGGCCCTGCCTGGCGCTCGGCATTAATGGGTACAACAAGGACTGGTCGGCTCGGGAGTCAGTATAATGTGTCTGAGTGGGGTATTCATGCTTCACTGCGGCATGGTATCTCAGTGGGCTAGCACTATAAAACCAGCTTCAGTCTGGGCTAGTACAAGCAGCCACACATACACACGCATGCACGTCGTCATATGAGCAAAATATTCTCAAGCACGACGTAAAACCCAATTTCACCTCACCTCTAAAAAACAGGAATTTAAGAAAAATATTGATCCATCAATGAAAAAAAAAGATTTTTATAATAACAAGATTTTTTTATAAAATGAATTTTTATATAGTAAATTCACACTAGATTAATATTCAAAAATAAAAACAATGTGTAACTAGAGGGTATCAACATTATCTCCAATTAAAACAGCATACCCAAATTAAATTTGATAAGGGGAGATAACTCTTGCCCAGGTTTACCTCAGGATAAATGCTTGTGTGGCCAAAGTATCATGAAGTATGATTAGAAGCAAGATAAAGGGAAATAACTGCGTAAAACTGTCACATCCTGTTGCATACGCCATATGTGCACAAACCACGGTATCCAACCTCTTTAAAACTTGGCATATTTAATGTATATCAAGCAGCATCAGGCCTAAATTTTTGGACCCATGAAGATCCGGGTTAGAATTGGCCTTCAGCAACCCATGCTTGTTGTAAAAGAGGACTAACGGGATCGGATGGTCAGGCTCGCTGACTTGGTTGACACATGTCATCGTTTTTCAATTACGTAGATTGATGCTCATGCTGTTTGATCACTGGATTGTCTGGTTGAGAATCGGTTATTTACAGACCGCTGCCATATAGCTGGAATATTGCCGAGTGCGGCATTAAACAACAAGCCAACCAAGCAGCCTAGAGTTTTCAGAATGATATGTTGTAAGCTACAGTTGATTAATGATGGCACTTTATTTTATCCCATTGTCAGGTACATTGATTGTTTCTGTTGTTATCCGTAACGCTTTCTCTCACCTGACGGCAGAGTAAACAGATGCTGCTGAAAAAACTAATCAATCTCTCTAGTCTGTGTGGCAACATGACCACGATTATTGTGGGATTAGTTGTTGTTTCCCCGCTGGTAAACCATGAAAGTGCTAGTTATACAAGGGCTGGTCAATACTGGTAATGAATGTTATCCAAGTACTGTCTTCACTAAGTGGAGGTTTCCATGGAAACTGTAAATAATGGGATTGTCTTGTTTCTATGGTTGCTTTTGGGAAATGAGCAGTTCACAGTATTCTGAGATGGTCATCATGTGTGTTTTTTGATGCTTTTATGAATTTTATGATATTATGTTTTATGAAAATCCTTTTAAGCTAATTATGCTAAGGGTCAGAATGATTTCTCTTCTTGCGACATGACATTTCAAGAATTCTGTGCTTCAGAGCAAAAATATGTGAACATCTTTGTTTAGTTACAGGTTCCATTAGTAAGATTTGTTTGTTGTTGAACTCGGAACTCCGCAGTGTTCAAGCTGTATGAGCTGTACCTTGCCTTGGCATGTTTAAGGCACCTGGGTACTGATCCACAACTAGGGCTGCGCAATATAACCGGTTTACTGGTATTTACCGGTTCAGACATGAAAACGATACGTATTGCGATACGCTGATCGAAAACCGGTATTTTGACATCCATTCGGAAAACTTCGTAACACTCGGAAATCTTCGGATATTTCCGTTTTTTTAAATTGTTCCTTTCCTTGTTTCATTTGTGCCAAACATTATTTACATTTTTATTTTGTCATGATTAAAAGTTTTTATTAACGCCTAATCAAGCATTGTGATTTTGTTGTGTTTTTACTTTATAAATCAAGCATTAACTCGATTATACGTATTTTTTGTTAAAGAAAACTTCTTGCAATATATTGCAATACATATCGCAATACATGCTTTCGTATCGCAATTTATCGCAATATGAAAATTCCTTGCAATACCCACCCCTATCCACAACGTGTTTGTAGCTTGTCATTTGTAAACCTACGATATACATGTACCAAAGAGTTACGATGGATTGTAACGTTACGAAGACTTTGCAGATCAGGACGCAGGAGCTTTTTAGCCATTCCACTGGCGGTGTAGTTCTACAACCTCTGATATGTGAAATATACTGAGTGTCGTATAACCAAGCCACAAAGCAACAGAACACAAACACCTTTTCATTGCAAATACCGGTTTTGATATAACTTTGTCCTGCTATTACTGAATATGATCGTAAAATATCACATTATTGAAAACATCCAATATATTGGGCTTATTCCTGGTTTCGAACTTGCAAACCTTCCCTTACTAGCTTAGCGGTTATATCAACTAGGCTGTAGATCGCTGTGAAGAATGAAATTGTTTGTCAGTATGAACCATGTGTTCCTCTCAAGACAGGTAGTGCGGACAGCGCACATACAGGACACGGGTCATGCATGCAGAGCATGTGCATTGTGCGTGCAAGGCAAGGCATCGGCTGCCAGTCACATCCCAGTTGATTTCAACAGTAATACCAAATATGAAAATTATATCTAAAGTATATCTTGGTTGGTTCATAAGTTGGATCAATACCTCTTCCTCCGGTTTTGTTTGAAAAAGTATGCCCTTGGCCTCGGGAAATCGGGTTGGGCCTTTCAGCCTCACAAACACGAGGGTCCAGGGGACCCCCAATTATTAGTTTTAAGGGTCCTAGCGGGCAATGTGAGGGTCTTGTGAAGTAACGATGTCGATAACTGAATGTTTTGATAATTTCTTTAGAGCTTGGAATGAATCGTTGATCATGTGGACTGATGGTTGAAATGATGCAAGTAGCAGCTCTGAAAGAAACAACCAAACACTTAGTCTCGGTCAGGTGTTGTAGGATTATTTTCTACATTTGTCCGACAAAAGATCGATCGAGTGATCAAACTAATGTTAGACAGAATTAAACAATAAACTGCACAACTTGCAGAATACAAGGTTCATCCTTTGTAATTTCTTCAGCACTCATTCTCAGATAAATGTAAAAGAGCAAATGACGAAAGCATGAAATCCGAGGTCGAGAAACCTGTTTATTCACGACTGTCAAGTAACCACCATGCTTGGGGATTTTACGGGACGTTTTAATCACCTCACGCCGTGTTCGCACCCACTCGAGTTGGTCCACGTGATTGAATTAATTAGGGTCAAGCGCTTCAGTTAGTACCGTGGAGCACACCCGTCTCGCGTACACAAGACGATAGGCTGTCTTGCGTACACGGTACGTCTCTGACTGGTCATAGATGTGTTGTGCATAGGGCTAGCTATAGATATACATCATAGAGATCGATCATCGATAAATGAATATCGATCGATTATAGATAAATATCGGAGAAGTAACTTTGAGCAAGAAACTACAATACAAGTAGTTTGATAGCAATCAACATGTTTCACATCGGTTGTGAGTGGTGACATGTGTAGGTTCGGATGACCAACAAAACTCCGTCCTGAACATACTTCAGCAGCCCATGTATATTTTTGTAATAAATTTTACAATTATTTCATCACAGTGGTTCATGTATGATATTATCCATTACCCACTTTTCATATCGATAATCAATATTAATGATTCCTATCGACGATATTTCCGATTATTGATCTTTTAAGCCAGCCCCATTTGTGCATAAAGTGAATGATATTGTGCGTCCCTTTGGACACGTAGTGAATTTTTTGTCTGCGTACATTCTGTACATTTGTGTACTGGACCCACATTTGCATGTCATGTAAAACCCGTGGTTTTTTTCCAGATCGCCGATGACTACCAAGGCTACCCACTGGACATGTTCTGTATACCCAAGCACTATGAACAGGACCTGCAGCATGTGCTCATTCCCTCAGGACTTATCAATGACAGGTAAGTAGCACATCCTGCTTTTGGGGGTTTCGGGCCTTAAAGAATAATTTTTGGTGCCAAACAAACACTTCTTTGAGGGTAGTCCGAGTTAGATGCAGTTTGTTGGCTTTCACTGTGAGTGGTTATCTTCTGGCACCAAGAAATGATAGTGTTTTTAAGATATCCACAGTATAATATCACTGCTTTTAGTTTTTACATTTGGGACTGATCATTTCAGTTCGTTTTGGAAATGCCAAAATCCGATATACCCACCTTAATGCTTAGGTTTTAGAAATTATGAAACTGATTGGTTCATGGAAAAGTTCATGACATTTTTGTGAGAGATTGTCATGAAATTTGGTGTACTTTTCCCATTTGAATGGTAGAATTGTGAGAGAAATCATGAGTGACTTGCAGTTCTACATTTTGCAGACTGAAGCGAAAATGTGGTACCGGTATATTTTTCTGATTTGAAGAATAGATTGCCTGGCAAGAGACATCATGCGTCACTTGCAGTTCAACACTTTTCAAAGTGAAGCGAAACTTTGATATGTTTTTCTCATTTACAGGATAGAGCGTCTGGCGAGAGACATCATGCGTGACTTCTCTCATGAAGCCATTGTAGGCCTGTGTGTCCTAAAGGGGGGCTACAAGTTCTTCACGGATCTTCTCGACAAGCTCAAAGCGCTCAACAGAAATAGTGAAGTTTCCGTTCCCATGGCCGTTGACTTCATTCGGTTAAAGAGTTACAGGGTATGTACACCTTTTTGTTGGAATGAAGCTGGTTCTTGGGTGGGTGGATGGGTGTTGCTCTACTCTTTCCTATCACATAAAAATCTGAGTTCCTGAAGTTTTTTGGGGTGAAAGGTGAGGTGAGATGGTGAGGTTTGGTGGTGATGAGTGAGGTTTAGTGGTGAGGGGTAAGGTTTAGGGTGAGATGGTGAGGTTTTGGGGGTGAGGGTGTACGAGTTTTCAGTCTTACAAAGTCATGTTTTGGGTGGATTTGTATGTTGTTTTAATGTCTAAAAATGAAGGCTTTTCCTTTGTCGGTATAAACAAACAACATGTTAAGCAGTGTGGATCACATTGGATTTGTTTGTTTGTTGTCTAACGCTGCACTCAGCAATATTCCAGCTATATGACGGTGGTCTATAAATATGTGAGTCTGGATCAGACAATCCAGTGATCAACATCATGAGCATCGATCTACGCAATTGGGATACAATGACGTGTGTCAACCAAGTCAGTGAGCCTGACCACCCGATCCCGTTAGTTGCTTCTTATGACAAGTATGGATTACAAAAGACTAACCCAGTCTTCACAGGTGCAAGTCCATGTGCAATGTATGCTCCAAAACTAAAGTAAAATGTATTGACAGTTGTTGACAGTAGGGATGTTTATGAAAATGATACTAGATTAATAATTCACTGAAACATTTACGTTAAGGTTACCATGGTTACCATGGACACTAAGAAGGCAGATAAATCAGTTTAAACATATAATAGATCAGCCTGGTTCATATTTAGAGTAAGTCAATTAATTGCAGGTTGAGACAGAAGCCGTATGTTGGCGTATCATGATACATTGAAGCCAGTACATCAATACGAAACTTTCCAATCAGTGTCAACCATAGGAGATGGTGGGTTGTCTTCCACGTGTTTATACACGTGAAGATCGGGTTAGAATTGATCTCCAGTAACCCATGCTTGTCGTAAGAGGCGACTAACGGGATCGGGTGGTCAGGCATGCTGACTGGGTTGACACATGTCATCGTATCCCACTTGTGTAGATCGATGTTCATGCTGTTGATCACTGGATTGTCTGGTCCAGACTCGATTATTTACAGACTGTTGCCATATAACTGCAATGTTACTGAATGCGGTCTAAAACTTAACTCACTCACTCACTCCTCCACGTGTTTATATTACATTTTAACATTTACCATGGTGAATTTGGAGGCAACATTCTCGTAAGCTCTGCCTCACCATCGTATCAATAGATTGTCATATAGGATTTGCTTAACATAGTATTTTTTAGCATGTCTACTTTTCGCACTTAGTTTTGTTGGATGAGGAATTGGGTCAAAACATTTTTCAATACTACATATTACTTTTGGAACTGATTCCTACATTACTCTGGGACACGGGTGGCCTTGTGGTGTAGGTCTTTGTTGTTCTCCATGCAGAGTTGTGTCCCTTGGGTGCACCAGGAACCTATGATTTTGGGTTGGAATCAAGTTTCATCATGATTGTTAAAATGTTTATCAGAAGAATTCCAATGCTCGTGGTAACCGTGGCAACCTTCATCAGTTCAGGCCTTATTTCATGCTGTGATGTAAGTGGAATTCTGTTTCAAGCACTGTTAAACCCAGCCCTTTCCCTTGCAACATTGGAAAGTGTGATTGATGTGATGAGGTTGAAAGTGGTATGGAGACTAGTTGTCATGTTTACAGCACAGCAAAATATTTTCAGTTCTGGCTCTTCGATTTAATTCTGCTTCTGTCACTTAAATCACAAAACATTCTGGGCAGATGTTGTTTGACTGCTGGCATTCCAGATTACTCAATATAAAGTTTTTAAAAAGGACATGCCTCCTGTGGCTGGAGCAAAAAAAAAGCAATGTGATTAGAAACATTGTCACTGGGAAGAATTAATAACAATAATCGATAAGAACACTATGTCATTGATAATAGCTGACATACACTATTGTGATGTTAAATTTAGAGTACAGCAAAATGTTTCTCAGTTCTGACTATTTGAATTTACATAAATCACAAAAGTATTCTGCACTGATGATTTTTGACTGCTGACATTTCAGATTATTCAATAATAAGTTTTGTGATAAGGTTTTTCTAACTACAAATGGCTAAAAAGATCAGTTATCGGAAATATTGTCGATGGGAAGAATTACTGACAATAAACGATATGAAAACCGTGTCATCGATAATAGCTAACGTACTGTGATGAACGAACGTTTAAAGCCAAATGTTTTTCAGCAGTTACTATTAGTGTTGGGAATTGGTTAAAATCTCATAATTGATGATTGGTTCATTACAACCGATCAGTTATCGAAAATAATTGGTTAGCGTCATTTATTAAATTTTCCTGGTTATGTTTGTTAATGCACACAAAAATAAAGAAAAAACATATGTAGCTCTTTCGGGCTTTTTTCAAATTTCACATCTTTAAAGGATGACTAGTATGTTAGGAACATAAATTTCCTGGAGTCTTCAAGATAAATTCAATCATGACAAGGAACGAGCTTGTTGTGCTTTTGAAATGTAACAGACACAACCAACCTTGTGAAAAATATTGTTAATGCAAACAAGTGTTCCAAAATTGTTTGTGTTCGATTACGAGAAAACATAATCGATTGCTTGGTCGTCTAGTCTTTGCGACCAATCTACGATTATTTCAGTTAATCAGACCACCACTAGATACTATTAGATTAAATTTTTCTTTTGTACATGACAGTGATGAACCTAGTCTGGATTGATGTCGTTTGACTGCTGATGTTCAGTAAATTGTACTGGTGAGTGTAATTGACCAATCATTATCAGTCTTACAGAGAATGTTGGAATTCTTGTTACACAATACCTGTAACTCTCACGCCTATTGCTTGAGATGCACATTTTTATTACTCATATCACATTGTCACGACAAACCTGACATTGTCACGACATACCTGACATTGTCACGACAAACCTTACATTGTCATGACAAACCTGACATTGTCACGACATACCTGACATTGTCACGACATACCTGACATTGTCACGACAAACCTGACATTGTCACGACGTACCTGACATTGTCACCACGAACCTGACATTGTCACGACATACCTGACATTGTCACCACAAACCTGACATTGTCACGACATACCTGACATTGTCACGACATACCTGACATTGTCACCACGAACCTGACATTGTCACGACATACCTGACATTGTCACGACAAACCTGACATTGTCACGACAAACCTGACATTGTCACGACATACCTGACATTGTCACGACAAACCTGAACAAATTTCATGTCAAACTGTTTTGACCACTTAAAATCATGCAAAAAGGCCTGAATATATCGTCTGAAGGACACATCCCAAAATGAACTTCAGAAGGTGTGTTCATGTAATGAGGGCTCTGATTATATTAAGGGGCTGTGGGGTAGTCTAGTGGTTAAAGCAGTTCCTCATTGTGCCAAAGGCCTAGGTTTGATTCCTGACATGCATACAATGTGTAAAGCCCCCAGTGTGATATTACAGGAATATAACTTAAGGCAGGATTAAGCCCACCTCACTCATTCACTCACTCAGATTACTTTTTTGTAGTTCTAGCTATTTCTATCTCAAATAAGTTTGTAGATGTGTTTTATGTTTGTCTATTTTGTTATAGTCTACCTACGGAAGTAAAGAGGTAAATTTTCTTTACTAGATGTTGTATGTAGCCACTAGCACAGATTCATCAGTTAGATATTATATTTTTTCTTTGAAAATATTTTCATTATTGTTCATTAATTAACTAACATGTTATCTTCATTATTGAAGTATCATTTTTTGTGGTATTATTATTAATATTCTAATGAATGCGTGGTGTGCACACAAGAGTTGATTACACATTTGTTCATAGTCATTGTCATTTTAGCACTGCTTCAGATGTTTAAGAGCGTATTTTTTTCATATATAACATTGCTTTGGGAAAATATTCTCTATTTATAAGGATTTATAGAAGTAATATTATATTTCTCCAGTATACTCTGAACTTAAGCTTGTCTCTTTTTATAAATACAAACGTTTACAAATCAAAATTTTCTAATAAACTTACAAATATGTATACAAACATGCTAAAGAGTTATTTATTGTTTAAAAATTCGGCTACAAGATCTAGTTTGAAATTTACCTCAACTTACTATATTCTTCTTTATTTATGTTAATTTAATGGAAGTGAGAGTTGCCTGTATCTCTCCTGCCTTTTTATCTGTCTATCTATCTGCCTACCTTTCTATCCACCCACCTGTATATCTATCCATCCACCTGTATATCTATCCATCCACCTGTATATCTATGCACCCTTCTATCCTTTGTCTCTTTTGTATCATATATATATTGTATTATATACTCATATTGTTGAAATCTGTTGACCTATGACATAGAAAGGTTGCATTTGAAAGATTTCAATTTAAACAATTTCTCAAGGAACATCCTCTGATATCAAACAGGCCGTGACATGCCCTGATATGGCTGAAACACTGTTCAAAACATTGATAATCACTCCTGATCAGATGGCTGCCACAACTGCCTTTGCCGTTAAGTGTAAGATGTCTGTTTGTCTCAACACTAAATGTTTTAGGATATTTTTTTGGCATTAAAAGTGTGGTAGGCAGAATAATAAGATATTTTTGTGAATATGTACATTTTCACTATTCTATGGTAATGGACATTCAAATATTGAAGGAACATTGGGGTAGTCTAGTGGTTAGAGCGTTCACTAGTCACGCCGAAGACCCAGGTTCGATTCCCCACAAGTACAATGTGTGAAGGCTATTTCTGGTGTCCCCTGCCGTGATATTGGTGGAATGTTGCTAAAAGTGTCGTAAAACTAAACTCACTCACTCATTCAAGTATTGAAACTTTTCTTATTTTATTGCATTTTGGAAACCTTTTTTAATATATTAGTCCAGGAATGATATTTACTGAATATTGATTTTATGATAACTGCCTAAACTTAAAGTTTTCCATTTGTCAGGAATTCTTTTGTTTGTGTAGAAAAAATTAACATGCAGTGTGTGGAAGTCAAAATATCACATGTGCTGCATTCTGTTGTTTGTTTTGATGAACAGTACCGATTCCAACTCATGTTCTGTCCTTGGAAATATATTAATAATGTTCACAGTTGTTTGTGTATCACAGCTGTTACATTTACACAAAGCGGTAAATATAATTAAAATCTCAAAGCTGAGGTAATGATTCCAAAATATATACATTAACACATTTATTTGGTAAAATCTAATGCATCTTTCATTAAGGGTCATCTTTCATCTTTCATTATTTATTAAAGCAAATATGATATCATTAGCCTGAAACACTAATTACCATAGTAGTTATCTGTCAACACACCTGTACTGAAGTATGCAAGTTCTGTCGTGGTTATTACAATGACATAATATAACTGTTTATCTTGCCTCACACATCAGTATCGTTTTCTGATTGGCTGAGCACTGTTCTATTATTTTCAATGTACCCCGCTAACAAGCGAGTACCATTTTCTATGTACCCCGTTGGGAATGCCGAACTCATTATCGGCATTTATCTCGAATAACATTGAATCACGTATGATGTACAGAAATTACCGATATTTTGCGAATGCAAATCGTTGGAAGGGAGATAACTCTAAATTTGTTTTTTCTTGTCATCTTGTCGTCTGGTACTCCATACTATGATCCAATACCCGTGCTTCAAACAGTTCAAAATTACCATTGAGGTGTTCGGTAAGATAAATATGTTGTTCACTGGTTCCTGGGGCCCATGGGTTGATGTACCCTCGATGTTTCTTTATGTTCCCCCCACCTTTCGGGCTCAGGGAACATAAACAAACATTGAGGGTACATCAGCCCATGTCCTCCTGGAGACCAGTGAACAACTTATATTGTTTTACATCTCACTTTGATTTTATCTAGTGTGTTAATCTCATTCAAAGATTCATAAATATTGTTTATTCATTCTGTTTCGATTCACTCATGAATTTGGTGAATAGAACCGTATCACTTCATGAATTCAATTCATTATTATAGTTTGGCATGAAATGCATGTGGACCCGTTTTTTTGTAAATATCTCTTCATCCAATGACCCAATCGATCTTAAACTGTGCAAGTGGATGTTTTGTCAGACAACCTAATCACATTGTAAATCACCGATTTTATGCACTTGTATTAAAGAATCTGTCTATGTAACTGTCAACAAAATAAACAGCAGAACGCAGAATGCTTGCAGAGGGCGGGAGCCAATGACCTGTAACAGCGGCAGTGACTACTTCTAGCTGTCATCATGAAAGCTTATTCAGATTATGCTAAACGTTTAATTAAAATGTGTTGAATTATTTTTAAAAAGAGAGCAAACGTAGCAAACCGATTTATAAGGTGTCGGATTACATGAAACTACAACTTTTGCTCTTGGCATGAAAAGAACACCGTGCTAAAAATGGTGAAAAATAAACCAACAACCAATAAACAAAACCTTGTACAAAAAGGTAGGCATCCAAAGTTAGACTCTTTTGACATCAGGGTCATCAGGGATGTCATTCGCCGGCTATTTGCAAAATTTAAAGATTTTAACCTACAGAATAATTCTCACTGGTGACTAATGGGTTTTGTGGTTAATGTTGAACAACTCAGAGAAACAAACTCCGTATGATGGTTAACAGTTGGCACCCACCTTACCCTATTCACGACCTGTGACACCTCTTCATACCTGTCACGTGCATAGCTGACCTACATTGACGAACGTTGACCTTTATGACCCAACACTGCCGCTGTTACAGGTCATTGGCTCCCGCCCTCTGCAAGCATTCTGCGTTCTGCTGTTTATTTTGTTGACAGTTACATAGACAGATTCTTTAATACAAGTGCATAAAATCGGTGATTTACAATGTGATTAGGTTGTCTGACAAAACATCCACTTGCACAGTTTAAGATCAATTGGGTCATTGGATGAAGAGATATTTACAAAAAACCGGGTCCACGTGCATTTCATGCCAAACTATAGTGGTCGCTAGAATCGAATATTTGCAAATATTTATGAGAGAGCGTTTTTACTTGGAAGTACACGTAGTTAGTTGTTTGTTAAAATGTGATATGCAAAATGGAATGTATCCAAGTAGCCCAACTTATGTAATTTTACCAACGCCACTTATAGCACTATTAGGCAGTAAGCTACATTGTTTGTAACGTATTGCTTTTTTTGCTTATAGATAATATCAGTTATATGTTTCAACTTAAATAATTACATGATTTTATTTCCTTGATAATAAACACGAAAAGTATTCATGAATAAATATTCATATTCGTTGCTATATGTTTTCATGAAATATATCATATGTGCCTCATAGTGTATATGTTGCAGCCCTGGGGTGATGGGGTAGCCTAGTGGTTAAAGCGTTTGCTCGTCACGCTGTAGACCCGGGTTCGATTCCTCATATGGGTACAATGTGTGAAGCCCATTTCTCGTGTCCCCGCTGTGATATTGCTGGAATATTGCTAAAAGCGGGTGTAAATCCAAACACGCTTACAGCCCTATTGTTCATATAACTTCCAGTGAAATTGTGAGTGAACTGATCGACAGACTGCACCAACTAACCATTATTTAGAGCAACCATAAAGATACTGCAGCTCATGTCTTGAAGCGAACCCCAGTTGACAGAGTACAGCACATATATGAAGTCCCCAACACTGCTTTGTTACTCTCAGGAGACATCTTAGGTGTTCAGACGCAGCTGACAAAGTTCACACTAGCAAGCTTTTGAGTGCTATAATTCTGAACAAGTTCTCAATGAAATACACAATGCCATTTTAGAAAGTGGTCAAATGTAACATATGTTATATTTGGGATTACACGTTCTTAGTAAAGTACAGATTCTAGTAATAGGCACCTAATTGCCTAATCACCTAATCCACTGTGGAAGCCGCGGTGGCTGAGCGGTCTAGGTGTCTGACTTTGTGTGCTGGCGATTAGGTGCCTGACTCTGGGGGTGCGGGTTCGAATCCCGGATGGGACTCAACCCAAAAAGTACTAGAATCTGTACTTTACTAAGAAAGTGTAATCCCAAATATAACATATGTTAATTTCTCAATGTTTCAATTTTTCTACAAATTAAGACTGAATATGACTAGTACTGATGTACACATAACTAGTTTGTCATGTTCAAGCAGAACAAGCGACAAAGGTTTCCATGTGTCTTCTGGATAAATCTTAAATATGGAGTGTGGGGTAGCCTATTGGTTAAGCGTACGCTTGTCACGCCGAAGAGTGTTCGATTCCCCACATGGGTGCAATGTGAGGAGCCCATTTGTGGTTTCCGCTGGGGTTATATTACTGGAATATTGCTGACAGCAGTGTAAAATTAAACTCACTCACTAATCTGAAATACACCCCAAATTCTAAAGCTGTAGCCATGGATCAGTGTCAAGGTCACTCTGTGAAAGTATCAGTGAGTGAGTGGGAGAGAGAGGGAGTTTAGTTTTACGCCGCTTTTAGCAATATTCCAGCAATGTCATGGCGGGGGACACCAGAAATGGGCTTCACACATTGTACCCATGTGGGGAATTGAACCCGGGTCTTCGGCGTGACGAGCGAACGCTTTATCCTCTAGGCTACCTCCATCAGTCAGTGTGTACATGGAGGTCAGCTCTTATCAAAAGCAGTAGACTGACATTTAATCACAGAACTATAGATACATTTTGAAACATTGCCTTAAAAAAAATTAATATTCCAAAAGGATCGCAGAAGAATTAGTAAATTCTTAATTTCCTCGCACTGAGGTAATCAAGACTTTGCTCAATCAGTTCAGAGTGAGTTCTACTCCTTCTTGGATTTATTCTATTAAACTTATCTGTTCTCCTCCAAGTTCCTGTAAATTCTCATCTGTATCCCTCACTAATGACAAAGGGTTAAATGAACATATCTCTCCTCCATGAACTAAAAAGAAGTGCTCAAGCTTTATTTACCGTCAAAAGTTACGTTGTGTCAAAAGTGAGGTGTCAGCACTTTTTGCCAACCCTGTTTGTGTGTGTATAGCAGATTGGTGTGTGTTGCCTGCATCTTTTACTCCAATATACTAAGATCTGTATTGCGACATGTGCTGCAGTAAACTGAGATAAACATACTTTAGAAACTGGCCACCATGAAATGAAGAAAAAACAGCACCATTCATTTGCTGTCCTATCTAGTTGGGCATGTCTCATTGTTATGTGTTTTGGGCTTACAAGTGAAAGACAGACAAAAACTATCAGCAGTTTCAACAGGTCTGATCATTTTTATGCCATTGTTACAAAGTTTTTGTAGCTTTAGAATTTGGTGTTTGTGTGGTGTGCACATTTTTCTACCTCGTTCTTTTGTTATGGAAGGGAAAGTTTTGTCAGAGAAACTATTCATGATCAAATTGTGCAACAAGGGAATTAACTCATGTACTTCAGTATGTGTTTGTTCCGTGCTATTTCTGGTCATGTTTTTGATCTAAGAAAATAAAACATTGACCTCACTCCACTCTAGACCAGGGACCCGTGAAGATCCGGGTTAGAATTGGTCTTCAATAACCTGCGCTTGTCGTAAGAGGCGACTAACGGGATCGGGTGGTCAGGCTTGCTGACTTGGTTGACACATGTCATCGTATCTCAGTTGCACAGATCGATGCTCATGCTGTTGTTCACTGGATTGTCTGGTCCAGACTCGATTATGTACATGTTGCCGCCATGTTGCTGGAATATTGCTGAGTGCAGCGTTAAACAACAAACCAACCAACTAAACCAGGGCTCTCTTTAAGGAAATGAAACCTACTTGCACACGGTGTAACCTTAGGTTGCACCTGACAATATCAGGTTGCACCTGCAGCTCAATATAAAATTATATTATAATGATTTACTTTTGGGATGATATATTGATTAACACATTATTATAGCAGAATTTGTTTGGGTCTGATAAGATCATGTTATCTTACTTCATAAAATTACTTGACATGATCAGTAACCGTCATTGAATCACTCCCTCTGTTCCAAACCAGTTCCTCATCATTCTGTTTAACAGCTGCAGTCTGTGTTCGTTGAACAGCAAAATATTAACATTCACTGGTAAAAATATGAGGTTGCAGTTTGCCGTTTCAGGTTGCACCAACTCAGGTTCTAAATGCTTAAATCGAGTCCTGTAAAATGTCTTGTCCTTTGCTGGGTTCAGGGTGCCATTCCACTATCCGATCTTATCTAAGATCAATCTTAGCAAGTTACTCCAATTTTACAATCCTGTTACACCCGTTCCACTAACCGATCTCAGGCCGATCATAGCCGGTCCACATCTTACAATCCAATCCTTGCTAAGATCGAGACTGTTTCGTAAAGATAGAAAAATGTGAGGCACGAGTTGTCTCCCTTTGCATAGTTAAACAGACGATGGAAGTAGTTTTGGAACCAAGTGTAAATCTTATAGTGAAGTGAACAACTTGGTTTCTGGGGCTAGTGCATGTGAATGCTGGGTATCTGGCATAGTATGTGGCTGAACCTTGTTGATCAGTTTAAACATGGCGAGATGAGGCAACCTGCTCACATATCTAGAATCTGTGAGCGGTCTCGGAAAAACACGCTTATTGTGTAGTGCTTGCTCTTCTTCTTCACATAGAATAAGGAAAGCCGCCATTTTGGTTTCTCTATGATTGATTATAGCGATCCTAAGTTGTCATGAACTTAAGTTTACAATTGACTTGGGTAAGATCGGTTAGTGGAACGGTATGCCGATCGTAAGGTTTTGCTAAGTTTGAGATTTTAGGGGTTTACGATTGGCGTAGGGCTAAGATTGGTTGTGGAATGGCACCAATAACAAGACAGTAGACAATATACAGTTGTACATTTGATGTTTGATGACTGTAACTGGTTTCCATTTCAGAATGATATCTCAACAGGGAACATCGAGGTTATAGGGGGAGACAACCTGGCTAATCTTGAAGGAAAGGTGAGATAACTCTTACTTCTCACACTGCATGGAAGGCAGTCTCCATGACTTTACCCAATTCATCTGTTATAGTAATCACGGTTGTTGATACCTGTACTGTGTAGAAATAAAGAATGCGTGGATTTGAACTCGAAGCCAGACTCTGTTAAACTGGTGATGATCAGATTTCAGGACTTGGTTGACTTGGTTGACACATGTCATCCCATCCCATGTAGATTGATGCTCATGATTAGGACTGCACAGCATTACTGGTGTACCGGTATTTCGCAATGCACTTTTCAAACGATATGTATTGCAATATTTTTTCTGAAAACCGGTATATTGGGTTAAGAACGTGTATGAAGTTTGGGGGAGTATCTTTATGGTTTAAATTAAAATCTACACAGACTTTCATTCACAACAAATGTTTTTCTCCGTTGTTCAGTGACAAAATGGCATACTGTAACGCTATACATTGTATAGAACAGAAAAAAGAATCCCTGACTATGCAACCTACTTTTGAGATTGCTGTTATCAGAACTATAACATATATTTTTAGGGACTTACAATGTAGAAAATAGGACTGACATGCACAATTAGTGTCACTCACTGTCAAACACTAAAGTTCCCAATATATCGCAATACGTATTGCAATACGGGTACCTGAATCGCAATATATAGCAATACAATTTATTTGCCAATACACAAGCCTACTCATGGTGTCAACACTGGATTGTCTGGGGCGGTGGGGTAGCCTAGTGGTTAAGGCGTTGGCTTGTCACGCCGAAGACCCAGGTTCGATTCCCCACATGGGTACGATGTGTGAAACCCATTTCTGGTGTCCCCCGCCATGATATTGCTGGAATATTGCTAAAAGTGGCAATATCCCAGTTACTTAGATTGGTGTTCATGATGTCAATCACTGGACTGTCTGGTCCAGACTCGATTATTTACCGACCGCCGTCATGGAAAATTGCGGTGACAATCAACAAAAAAACAAAACAAACAAAAACTTAAACTGCATAAAATCATGTTTAATTATTTACTTACAAAAACTCCCAAGCTTTAAATGCTTGTATTCAAATATGGAAACAAAATTGGAAAAAAACCGAAGAATCCCCATGAGCCTTCTAGGCCACAGATAAATACTAGTCGCCATGGAAATGCATAAACTCAAGGTTATAGGACAGGTAATTCATGGATTACTTCTAATCAGCATCACTGTGACCAGAAGTGAACGGTAAAATCAACACAATCATCTTTTCGACCTTGTTTCATTAGGTACGTTGCCAGGATGAGGAAGCAAGATGTTGCAGGTCTTGGTGAATGAGATTGACCTTGCAAATCCTATTAATTACCTCCAGCTAAGTAATTGTGTACATCATTAAATCTTACTTGAAGGCTGCATCATCTCGTTAGCAGACATGGCTATTGATTGGGAAGTCTCCACAAGAGCGATGTTGTGCACTGCATGCGTGGTGTGTTTGTCATCGACGCTGATGTCGTTCGTGCAGGAGGTTTGGTAAAATATCTTGAGGTTACACAAAAACAATATTTTCCCATTGAGTTCTATACAAAATCATATTTTTTAAAATATACTAAGCCACAACAGCTATTACATGTAGTGTTGGGAATTGGTTTAAATCTCATAATTGATGATTGGTTCATTACAACCGATCAATCATTGAAAATAATTGGTTAGCGTCATTTATTAAAGTAATCTGGTTATGTTTGTTAATGCACAATAAATAAAGAAAAACATGTAGTTCTTTTCGGGTTTTTCAAATTGCACAAAATGCATTTGCAAATTTCACATCTTTAAAGGATGACTAGTATGTTAGGAACATGAACTTCATGGAGTCTTTAAAATATATTCAATCATGAATTGGAAGAGCTTGTAGTGCTAATGAAATGTAACAGACAAAACCAACCTTGTGAAAAAATATTGTTATTGCAAACAAGTGTTCCAAAATTGTTTGTGTTCGATGAGAAAACATGATCGATTGCTTGATCATCTAGTCATTAAGCGACCAATCTACGATTATTTTAATTAATCGGACCACCACTAATTACATGTACATGTGTACATAGTCTGGCCTTAAAGAAGCAATGAAAATATAAAAACATGACCACCTCAGTCAACACCTTTTACGAGTACAGGAAGCTACCGGTAAACAGACCTACCCCAGTTCCGCACAAAATGTCAACCGCTTGAAAATACCTGGTGACATCCTGCAAACATGTGAACAAGACAGCACTATATATTAAAAAATATGGTTAGTTTCAGTTACTGGATGGATGTACATTTAAAAAACACTAAACTCTTACACAGAATCGTCCAATCACAGCTGTCAGGTGATTCAGTCTGCACTGAAGGCTCCCTACGAAAAGTGCTTGTTAAACAACAGAATCTGATTTGGTGTAGTGAATCCTTGACTATCCAGACATAGCCAATTCTCTAATAATTACGTTTCTGTAAGAATCGAGGGCATGGGTGAACTGTGGCTTAGTCTCTGATTATATATAATTCTGACAAAACAAATAAGTGAATGGCTTCCATGTAAATTGAAAAGGAGCCCCAGTGAGCTGTGAGATTGAGGAAATCTAGACTTGCTTCATTAAGGGGTTTAGCATTGTAGAAGGGACTTGGTGGAAGGGAAAATAATGTGGCTCAGGGACTGTGAGATGAACCAGGGATTTGATGGTTCAGTTGTCTTAGTTGCTGCAATTCACTTTTATCAGAAAGTATTTGGTCATAGGAGAAAACCAATTATACCCAATTTTCACATCCTGACCAAACCTCATGAAGCATCATAAAATCTCCTGACTGGTCCTGTTACGTGAGGCATTTCCCACACATACACAAGTCTCTGAGATGATTATGATTAGTTTAACTGATACTTTCGAGATAATGTATGAATAAAAAGAACAGTTTGTTCGTATAGTCTGTGTATCCAGACTTGCCTGTTTAAAGGGCTTAGCATTCAGTTCAAGGCTAGAAAATCCTAAGCATAGCTTGTTAAAAATTTGTTAAAATTTGGAAATATGAATATTATTGTGTATCTGTTGTGATGCAATACATATACAGAGATGCCAACCCTAGTTTTAAAAGCCCAATTAGTATTTTGGCCCAAAACTGATGCAAAAATTAGTATTTTTTTCCAAAATTAGTATTAACTTTTTCAAAGAATATATAGCTGTTCTAACAACTTGTTATTATCCCCGCGTCCATATGTCCGTGTGTCCGTGCACATTTGTCTTTTCCGAGCAAAACCGTTTAATATTTCTTCACCAAACTGACCCGTGAAGGTCCGGGTTAGAATATTGATCTTCAGTAACCCATGCTTGTTGTAAGAGGCTTACTTAACGGTATCGGGGTGGTCAGGCTCGCACTGACTTGGTTGACACATGTCATCGGTTCCCAATTAAGTAGATCGATGCTCATGTTGTTGATCACTGGATTGTCTGGTCCAGACTCGATTATTTACAGGCCGCCGCCATATAGCTGGAATATTGCTGAGTGTGGCGTGAAACTAGACTCAATTACTCACTTCTTCACAAAACTTTGCAAATACATACATCTGGTGGTGTACTGGTGCTTTTGATAGTTTTGGAATTTTGAATAAAATATTTTTGGCATTTCCAAGGCAACAACTTTGACTTAGACTGAAATTGGTGGTAGTGCTCTTTTCTGGAGCAGAACTCAAAAACCGTTCATTATTTCTTCACCAAACCTGGTGCATAGATTGGTCTAGTGGTGTACTGGTGCCTTTTGGTAGTGTTGGTATTCTGAATTAAATATTTTTGGCATTTCCATGGCAACAACTTTGACTTAGACTGAAATTGGTGGTAGTGCTCTTTTCCTCGAGCAGAACTCTAAAATCGTTCACTATTTCTTCACCAAACTTGGCACATAGATTTGTCTGGTGGTGTACTGGTGCCTTTTGGTAGTTTTGGATTTCTGAATAAAGTATCTTTTGACTTAGACTGAAACTGGTGGTAGTGCTCCTTTCTGGAGCAGAACTTTAAAACCTTTCAATACTCTCCTTCCACTTTTCTATATACACACCTAAATATTTGACATAATCATAACTTCGTAGACATAATCATGAAGAGTATTTTGCCATTGCGGGGGGATATTGATGACTTTGTCTTCTTGTTAACATAGGACCCACCTAAATCAGTAGTAGGTATCCACATATAGCTTGATACTGAATAAAATGTGGTTGAAATGTATTGTGTTTGGTACGCCTACTATTTGATAATTTAATTTAATGTATTTAAAAAAAATTGTACATTGATACTGTTATCGTAAGTCGCTATTATGTTGTGTTGTTTTTTCGTGATCTAATGTGATAAAATCGTATGGGTTGGCATTTCTGCATACTTTTCTGAATCCATTCCATATACATGTATACTGGCTGCACATTTCTCGGTAAAAACCCTTTGAAAGTATCATTCTGTACAACTTGTTGGTGTATGAATTTAAGAAATACACTTGGCTCTACCACCATGTATAGTGTAATAAAACACACTTTTGCCCTGAACTATTATAGTTAAAGCCTTTCGGACGGGCGGCTTCCGTCCGTGCTTTAACGCTATAATAGTTCAGGGCGAAAAGTGTGTTTTATTACACTATACATGGTGGTAGGGCTGAAGTGTATTTCTTCTAAGATGCCATATTTAATACTTTCTAAGGATAATTACGATTAATTTAAGGCAGAAAACAAGCGACGGTGTCGGTGACCTAAATTAAGAATCAATCCTCGCACAGGGCTAACTGGTGCGCTGTTCTATTGATGTGTCAGGCCCCCTCGTTAAGACGAACGTTACCAGAAAAACAAATGATAACAGTTTGATGACGGTTTACGTTCGGATTAAATATCTTCTCTGAATTATTTTAAGTACATCTGTAATTAACGTAAACCATATGGGCAATATGAACGTTGCATTTCTACTACCAGCGTAAGTTTAGATCAGTACATCCAGAGGAAGTTGAGTAGTCAAAGCGACATTCCACAATTGCATTGTGGGAATGTAAACATTACGAACGTTACCGTGTCGCTGAAAACTTGTGAGTCGAAATGACACATTTTAACCGTCGTAAAACATAAACGTAATGTTTCCACCAGTGATGTTAGCTGCGTGAAGCAACAGCAAACCAAGAAACTGGATGCAACGTGTAGTTTACTGTAGGAGGCCGATGCAGTGATGACAACTGACATGCATCGTGGCGCCGCTTACATTGTGACGTAATGTAAAATGGTTCGATTCACGAGGGGCACACTAGAATGGCGCGGTGTGACGGATAACGCATTCAATTGTTACGTCATCAAAAACTATACCTTTATTGTCTGATAATGTATTTTTTCGATTGTTCTAACCGCTAGGCATCTTAGAATCACTCATAAACTCATTCATGAACTTATTCTTACATGAACCTGTGAAAATCCAGGTTCGAATTGTTCTTAAGTAAATCGTCCATGTTGTAGGAGGTGACAAATGGGATCGGTGGTCATGTCTGTAGACCTTGTTCATGCATGTCATCATATCCCAGGTGCCTAGATTGATGCTCATGATGTCAATCACTGGATTGTCTGGTCCAGGCTCTCTAATTAACAGATTGCTGTCTTACTGGTAGAATTGCTGAATGTGGCATTAAAACCAAACATTCAGTCATGATATTTAGGCAGGATCAAAATTATCCCTTGTGGTAGTGACCTTGACATTGTTCTATGTTTCAGAATGTGTTGGTGGTGGAGGATATCATCGACACAGGCGGCACGATGACGCAACTGCTGGCACTTCTGAAGGAAGTCAAGCCCAAGTCTGTCCGAGTGGCAAGGTAACGTACAGTAGAGGTAGAAAGTTACCTCAGATGTTTGCTAAAGGATGCAGGGAGAGGGTCTGGTGTAACCTAGGGGTTAAAGTGTTCACTTATCACGTCAAAGATGAGGTTCCATTTACAGACCGCCACTGAGACCGGCATTAAACAACAAACAGACCTACCATATACTGATTCCGATGTGTAGAGCAGAGGGTGATAGATGACACACAGGAACTAGTGTTAATGTGATGTTGCAGGTTCCTCACCAGGCTGTGGTTGATGTAGATGTTGTTGTTGATGTAGATGCTGTTGTTGATGTAGATGTTGTGGTTGATGTAGATGCTGTGGTTGATGTAGATGCTGTGGTTGATGTAGATGCTGTGGTTGATGTAGATGCTGTGGTTGATGTAGATGTGTTGTGTTGCAGTTTGCTGGTCAAGCGGACGCCCAGGAGTGTAGGATACAGGCCAGACTGTAAGTTCACATTCTACCTGAATTTTAACTGCAGAATATTTGTTAAATTTCAATCTCTTGCTAAACTTGCAACAATCACCAGTAACTGAGGGAAAGGTATAAATCCGGCAAGGGAGCCATGAAGGAAACAGAGGTACCGTAAATCCCCATGGCCCTTAGCATGGTGGCCTTACCTATCTTGCTGGCGATCAGTAGCCCCATTTAACTTTGTATCTTGCTCCAATATTCAGATATGCATTTTTTCTATGACTAGTTTTAAACATTTTGGTATATATTGCTGGTCCTTCGATGGCAGATGTTATGTAGACATAGTAATAGTAAAGCTTGTTCCAGTCACAAGATGGCTGAAATATTGCCGATGTGATTTTACATTTTCATTCATTCACTCACTCACTCACTCACTGATGATTCTTTTCACTGCCAATCAATTTCACTGTTAATTAGCTATTGATCCATCTGTAATTACCTTGTTTCTGTCTAATCATGACGTGTGTATTTCAGATGTGGGCTTTGAAGTTCCAGACAAGTTTGTCGTAGGCTACTCTTTGGACTTTAACGAGTACTTCAGAGATCTTAGTGTAAGATGGCTTCTACATACATTGTTATATGTGAACTGCTCAAGTGGTATCATGTATAAGGTGACATGTCTTGAGAAAGCATCCACCTCTTAATGCCTTGTATATTTCACTTGCAAGCGATCTTAAGGTTATCTCCCAATTGACAGACATCCATTTGACGGACAGTCAGTTGATAGACACTAAACTAGAAGGTTAATTAGGGTAACACCTACGGGGTATAATGGAACAGTGCACTGTCTAGTGAGTAGAGTAAGGTGAGCCTGAAACAGGTTCTTTACTGAGAAGTTTGATTGTGTGTAAACAGAACTTTGTTGAGATTAAATGTACATGGTTGGCTAAAATTATTGGAGTTTCTTAACTCATAACCTGTCCCGTTGCCTACTACAGGTGGGAGTAAATCCTGAAGAAAAACTGGTGTTGTCTTGTTTGGTAGGAACTTTAATTTCGAGAAATGCTCCAATCATTTTAGATGTCATTTTGACAATGTTTTCAATATGATAATGCCAACTCCCGTTAGACGAGAAGGTTAAACCGATATGTTTATGAGAACAACTCTTTTTTTCAAAATTTAAATTCATGTCTTTTCGGCCATCTTTCAAAGTAAATAATATAGTTTCATTTTTCTTCTTGCGTTTTTGGGCGGTGGGGTAGCCTAGTGGTTAAAGCGTTGGCTCGTCACGTCAAAGACCTGGGTTCGAATCCCCACATGGGTACAATGTGTGAAGCCCATTTCTGGTGTCCCCGGCCGTGATGTTGCTGGAATATTGCTAAAAGCGGTGTAAAACCAAACTCAGTCAGTCTTGCGTTTTTTATTTTGACTATTCCATTATAATGTGTAGGTAACGGGTAGTAGCTAATCTGTTCATTGAACCGTAATTGTTGTTGTTTTAAGGCGTCTGCGAACTGCCTGTCTGCGTAATGGGAGGACACCGATCTTAACGTTAAGATATAGAATTACTCTTGAATCTTGGGGTGTGGGTGTGGGTTGTGGGGGTGGGGTGTAGCCTAATGTTTTAAGCGTCCACTCGTCACGCTGAAGACCCGGGTTCGATTCCCCACATGGGTACAATGTGTGAAGCCCATTTCTGGTGTCCCCCTGCAGTGATATTGCTGGAATATTGTAAAATTGGTGTAAGACCATTCTCACTCAGTCACTCACCATCTCACTATAATCTTGGGTTTGATTCCCAAATTTGATCAAACCATGATCCTGGGTTTAGTGTCCGTTCTTAATTTATAGCTTGGGATAATGGGGGATATTGATTTTGTACATGACATGCATGACCATAATGCATAATGCATGACCATGATGAACTCAAAGGCAACATTGTATTGTTTGGGCATGAACATGGTTTGCCAGAAGTATTCCGACTTTCATAGGGGCGATGGGGTAGCCTAGTGGTGTAAGCGTTTGCTCGTCACGCCGAAGGCCCGGATTCGATTCCCCACATGGGTACAACTTGTGAAGCCCATTTCTAGTGTCCCCCACCGTGATATTGCTGGAATATTGCTAAAAATGGCGTAAGACCATACTCAGCCAGTCAGCCAGCCGACTTTCATATGATAAACTTTTGGGACCAAATGGTCGGACCAAAGAACAGTTTGATATATCCATCAGTTTCTTGTAGTGCTTGTTTTTTTCTCATAGTCATAGTTTAATATAACTGATGTACTGTCCAGAGCATTGTAATCACCTCCGTGGTCATATAGGTAGAGTTCCTGCTCAGTGAGTGAGTGAGTTTAGTTTTACGCCACACTCAGCAATATTCCAGCTATATGGTGGCGGTCTGTAAATAATTGAGTCTGGACCAGACAATCCAGTGATCAACAGCATGACCATCGATCCCGTTAGTCGCCTCTTCGACTGGGATGCGATGACGGTCAACCAAGTCAGCGAGTCTGACCGTCCGTCATTTCAGTAGATGTCCTACTTTTTAAAGAATTGCTGTTTTAAATTATTTTTCTTCTATTACAGCATATCTGTGTCATCAATGACAATGGCATCAGCAAATACTCGGTGAAGAGATAGGCTAGAGGGCAGCCATATTGTTTTCTACAGCAGCAGATAAGGGGAGATCATTCCAGTCTTGACATCTCAGGTCTGCAGTGTGACACTCAACACATCCTACGACAATTTGTTCTGTTTATTGAAACATTTGTTTTCGATAAATGGTTATAAAGACATTATATGTACTTTATATGTACATTATGTGAATTAAGAAGATGATATTATCCAAATTGATGAAACAGGTTTTAGCTGTTCAAGATCTGTTACAATGTGGCATAATTTGTTTATGGCTTATGTATCCAATCCAAAGGATAAAAGATCTACGTTGCAGCAGTTCTTTCTTTTCTGTACCTGTAACTGAAATTAGTGTTTGTTTGTTGAACTTTATATGTTGTTGTCTTTGTGACTATTTCATGCATCCTCAATAATCTCCAGGTTATACGTTCCGATAAATCCCGACTAGTACCCAGGATGCATCTACGGCTTGGTCTGATAATTTCATTACCTCCCTTTACTGGCTCCACTTTCTCACAGTAGCCAATCAGATAAGCCATTACAACCGAGCTTGCCAGTGATGGTTTGCTTGCTGTGTGACTCAGATTTAGGAAAAAAACATTCAGATTTTCCTGATCGGGAGTCATCTTTTCTATGTTGAAGCGAGAACACATCCTATTGAAGTCAATTATTTTGGCCCCCATTACTATTTACTGAAGAAGCGGAAGTGAGTTGTGATAGAAACCTTGTGACTGGTACGCTCAATTTACCAGCACAGGCACCTGATTGGATAAAAAGCCAAGAAAGGGAGGTAATGAAATTATCGGGCTGAGCTTAGACGCATCCAGGGTACTAGTGGAGATGTACTAGTGTACCCTTGAGATTATCCTGGATGATTCTAATGATGCATTTGAATAAATGTGGTTCGTTTTTGGAAAACATATTTTGATAAAGTAATCTTGGGCTCTTTCTGTGAGTGACCATGCTATAAGTATCATCTATATTCAAGAGTTGGGGGTTACAAGAGTTTAAATGTCTAGGTTACTTTAAAGATGGTGACTGGATTCAAAACTCTTTTTGTAAAATCTCTTCAAGTTTTATTCTGATCCAGGGTCCATATGAAACATGAAAGGTATTTCTGCCAATTTTCTGTGAAGCAATGTCTCCTGGTCTCTTAATCTGACACTAGCAAAAATCTCCATAGTCTAGTTGTATTCTACCATAAATCATTTTCTTTAACCTTTGGTCTGAAACAAGCCTGATTTTGTTTTGGAGACATTTTACTGTAGAGATATACAATAAATATTGCAAACATGAATTAAACACCTCCTGCATCATTTGATCTCATGCATGGCTTTGTTGGTTTGTGTGTGTGTGTGTGTGTGTGTGTGTGTGAGAGAGACAGAGTAAGAGTAAATGACCCCCCTAAAAATTATGTACAAAGTAAGTTACCACCTTGCATGTCCTGTTTTTTTATCAGTGACAACATCCCCCTCCCCATCCCATAATTTGTAAGCATGTTTTAAACATGTTTTTATGTACAAAATTGCTGACACCCCCCACCCCCAAAAGTACATGTGTACAGAATGGATGACCCCTCCTTAAGATCATCATCACCCCACTAGCCATAATTTGTGAACGGTCCCTAATGATATCATCCTTGATTTTCTTGTGCAAGTTGTTAAATTGATGTCAATTATGAAAACTGGGATTAGTACAAACATAGACCATTCAGCCCTATTTCACCTAGACACAAGATTTTCAGTGTTTTGTGTTCAGTGTCCCACTGCCATGGTGTAATTTAGAACTTATCTCACTCACTGAATCACTCAGTTGCCAATTGTAATTATTTTTGTTTAATAAGCATTTCACAACTATTTCATCATCCACTAAAACATTATGAGGTCTCTATGCAGAGTTGCTTCCCTTTGGAGTGCCAAAAATCCTGTGAGTAGGTTTCGATCTCTGGTTCTGCTGGTAATGTTTCTAGGTTGCCGGTATCAAACCCTACTGGGGGTGTGACCAAAATGGTAAGTGTCAAACACCGGCATCACCACATACTTTTCTCCCACGCCAGTCTGCCCCAAAGTTCTAAAAAGGAAATACTAGTCAAAGTGGTGGTAAAGCAAATCCACATACTAGCTCACTCACACTAACTCGCATTTATCTGTGACTATGTAGTAACAGTAAAGGTGCTATTTCAGTGTTTATTAAAAATGATTCAAGGGCATTTATTTTTACAGCTACTTTGATGTACAATACCAACTGTCTCCATGGTAACTCAACCTCCTTATCATAACATTATGCCCTATAATGTTTCTACATATGTTGTGTATTCAAAGAAAAATATAGTCAGTCATCAACAGAAGAAACTGTCATCACATCTGCATTTGTCGTGTTGTGATTTCTACAACTCTAAATTCCTCTCTGAAAGAATGAATGTAAACTGGTATAAAGATTCCTAAGATGTTCTTCCGTTTTAATAGTAAAGGAACCAACAAGCTAATTATTTGGATTCTTCCTGGCACTTCTCGTGATTCTCAAAAGGTCATGATGATATGTCTGATTTGTATTTGTTTTTAAGATATTTGTGTTTGAAATATAAATTACATTGAGATGTGAATTTCACATACTTAAAGCATGATCAGTATTTCAGGGTTTGTGTAACTATGTTCCTTGTGAATACATAGGTCATGATGTAGCAGTGTTTGCTATTATCTGCTATGTAATGACTCCGATATATGGAATGTTACATAAGTTCTCTTTAGATACCAAATTTACAAAACGAAAGTGAACTTCTATTGTAGCTAACTAAGCAAAACCAAGTTCAGATGCAAAAGGCTTTTCATGAGTTTTGTAAAATTTTATAAACAATGAGAACGAGTTTGGGATTGTATTTCTTACCCACATTTTAAGTAGAATTTTTATGCGTGTAATTATTTTGAACTGTTTGAGAGGCATTCTAGATGTTGTAAGTAATAGGAATGACAGGTTTTATGGATGATCAACTTTTATTGTACAATAGCTTATGCGTTTGGTAGAGATATTCGCACCGCTTTCATGGTTATCTCTACCAAAACGTTGCTATTGCACAATAAAGAAGTTGATCAACCATAAAGTCTTGTCTTTCCTGTATTGTTTTGTCTTGTGTCCACGACCTGAAACTGGTTTGAGAAAGAGTGACTAGGTGTAGTGACCATGATTATCCAATCAAGTGCTCGAATCGGGATCAACCCTATATGACAGAGGTCAACCTTGTACATCACATATGTGTCATACGAGTTTTGTTTCATAATGTCTATTTGATGTAATAAGCACTTCAGGTGCCTTGAAAATTGACAAAGAAGAGCTTAGGAAACACAAATTCTTTTGTGGAGTTGTAAAGAAGAAGGCTATTGTGAATTCAGGGTCTTAAACAATAATATCGATATCAGATATATTGTAATTTTTTATGTTTGTATTTTGTTAATTTGATTTCACAATAGTCATTTTTACACTATAATACTGTTATTAATGGAAACAAATATGTACCTGCATGTATGATGAAATAACATGGCCATTTACCGGTAGGCATAATATGTTGTGATGCAGGTGGCCAAGTTGACTCGGCACTGCTATTTACAGTTATGTCCCTTAGGGATGCTAGGATCCTGTTGTAGTGGGTTCAATCCCAGATTTTATTTAGGTTTCAAGGTTTCTTTCCACCATACCTATGCATTTGGGTTTGGCCACAGCAGAAAGGTGTTACACCTTCTTCTCTATGGGATTTCCTCAAGCTGGCAAGCTGTCTTCAAAACAGCCCAAATCTCAACTCCTGCATCTTGATTGTGTTAGAGAGCAAAGAGACTTTTTGAAAAATTCATGATATTAGTTGATGTATTTTTGCAAATGTCACACAGCTATGTGGGAATAAAAAATATATCATGTACCGAAAGTGCTTTAAATTTTTTAGTTGTATTTGGGGATGATGTATCCTTCATCAGTTCATGAGTGAGTGAGTATGGTTTTAGGCGCTTTTAGCAATATTCCCACAATATCATGGGGGCAACCAGAAATGGGATTCACACATTTATGTCCCACGTGGGGAACTGAACCCGGTCTTTGGCATGATGAACGCTTTAACCACTAGGCTACCCCACAACCCCATTAATGCATGATAATACTGTCTTTTGAAAAATGTTATTCAGTAACCATGTATTCCATAGTGAGTAAGTATGAAGAAGGTGGCCACCATGATTGGTGACTTTACCTGACAAGGTAGGAAGCCAGTTCTCTGTGTCTTAATGAACTTGGTTGAAAATGCACCAAGTTTCATTTTTCTCGTTTTAATGAAAGTTTACTCTGTTATTTATCACTTACCCTACACTGTGGGCAGGTAGCTGAGTGGTTGAAGTCTTGCTTGTCAGGCTAAAGACTTGGTTCAATTCTCCGTATGTGCAGGCTAAGTAAACTTAGGTTCGGTATTGTTCGTTACACTGCTGAGTCTAACAAACCCTAGTAGAAGGTCTCGTCAGCTAACCTTTGAGCCCTATGACCGTCCAATTAAATGCGAGATGGCCGAACGGATTTAACCCATCAGACAACGGCTACTGTTTATGGTTCGGCGGGACTTCCAACATTCACCGGTCACCGACACTGATCTCTCAACAAACGAAAATCCACGTAAAACACAGATATTTGACCTGCAGTATATACGCCTAGGGCTTTCTGATGACATGGTTACCATAGCTAATATTTCCGCAAGCTGACATGCTTGACTATTGACCAATGTGAAGCCCATTTCCGGTGTCCCCAACCGTAATTTGCTGGAATATTGCTAAAAGCGGAGAAAATGCCAACTCACTCACTCCTTGAATATTGACAAAAAACGCTATTTTCAGCGACTGTTTACTCGCTGTTGTGGCGTGCTCCATGTGCATCACTCGGAAGCGGTCGTACGGAAAATAGCATTCGGAATCGTTCGCGTGCAAACGTTTTGGAGGTAAAAGTTCAAAAGTATGTGCGAATGTCAATGTCGCGACTTGGTAAGCTGTGTTCTGATTGGTCAATTGAAAAGGTAAGCAAACGCGACATTCTACTTGGGTTTGTTAGACTCCAGTGTAACGAATAATACTGAGCCCAAGTTTACATAGACAGCCGAATGTGTGAAATCTGTTTCTCATCTCACTGTGATATAGCTGGAATATATGTAAAAGTGGTTTAAAACCCAGCTTACTCACTCTACACATTGAAACACAGATTCGCATATATCAGTAGATATGGAAAGTCTGGACTTGCTGACCAGGTGTAAACTTTTATCTACTTGTGTTGATGTGTTTGATATCAAAAGACACGAGGATGAGATTCTTTTATCATAAAAAATCATTCTTCCTTCTTTTTGAGGTTGTATTATAATAACTTGTGGTTTGAATGTACACAGTGCAGCTAACACCTTTAGTGGCAGAGACGGTGGTTTCAATTGATTGTACATCATGGCAGGGATACTCTACAACAGGGATAGAGTCACTCGCTTGCTTTCTTTACCATTTGTACTAATTAACGTTATTGCCTCGTCATGCTCCAACGCACACAGTGACTTGGTTCGGTCCCAGCGCAACTTCGGCTGCGTTTAACAGTACTTCAGCCAGTGTATTGTATAGGTCGGAATTTTACAATGAATGAATGAATGAATTAAGAGCAAGAATTTTATGTGAATGAATGAAAGAAATTAAGAAAAGAACAAAAGAAAAGAACATATGTGAATGAATGAAAGAATAAATGATACACCACGGCCATCCCTCCCCAAACATGATAAAGAACTCAAAACTATCGGTAGAACACATGTTAACATCAGCCGTCCTTTTCAAAAAAAAATTACTTTGAGACATTTTTACATTAGTAACTAATTCAGATATCTTATTGCATGTGTGGAATGACATGGGCATTGACAGAATGGTAACTGACACTGTCACAGACCCCTCAAGAACAGAAAGTTTAGAACTATCACAAAGCCTTGCAAACACCTTTCCAGTTTTGTCAAATACTAAGATCAACAAGAAAGAAAGAAGTTTTAGAACTATAACACTCAAGCATCACAAGCACCAATGGCGTATCAGAACAGATCGGCGATATGTCATATTTTTTCACACACCCTCAAATACACACTAACAAAAACAAAAAAATTAAAACTATCACTATTACTTGCAAAAACTTTCACCTGATGGTATCTTCCCCTCATAAAAATTAAAGGTGTATGTGAAAGATGTTTTAGAACAATAACTAGAAACACTCAAACAACGCCCTGTAGTATTTCAATGGCAGATCGGCGATATGTCATATTTTTCACACACCTCAAATACACACTAACACAATTTTTTGAATTATAAAACCATTACTATTACTTGCAAAACACCTTTCACCTGATGGTATATTCCCCTCATAAAATTGAAGGTGTATGTGAAAGATGTTTTTGAACACTAACTAGAAACACTCAAACAACGCCCTGTAGTATTTCAATGGCAGATCGGCGATATGTCATATTTTCACACACCTCAAATACACCCTAAAAAAAAATTTAATTATAAAACTATCACTATTACTTGCAAACACCTTTCACCTGATGGTATATTCCCCTCATAAAAATTGAAGGTGTATGTGAAAGATGTTTTGAACACTAACTAGAAAACACTCAAACAACGCCCTGTAGTATTTCAATGGCAGATCGGCGATATGTCATATTTTTCACACACCTCAAATACACCCTAACAAATTTTTTTTTAGTTATAATATCACTATTACTTGTAAAACACCTTTTAACTAAAGGTATATTTCCCTTCTGAAAATTAAACGAATATGTGAAAGAAGTTTTTAGCGATATAATTTAGTCTTTCTTCGCTGTGTACTGAGAATTGAAGCCAGTGAGCTACAACATGCCCACTTGAAACTTTACTACAAAGCTACTGTACTTATACTGACACTGATAACAAGTATTTGACTTAAAAAATGAAGTGACAGAATAGGTAACTTATCTTCTACATGTAGGTTTTCAGTTGTCACAACACTCAGCGTATGTAATCAGCTGTTGAAAATAAACCGGACTCAATCTTAAAAAACTACGCTGCCGCCATATTGGCTGCACTGGTCACGTGACGAGCCGAGGCATAGCTTAGGAGCTTTCGAGAGGAGTGACCACCCTTATAGAGTCTCCTGATCATGGTAACTGTGTCAACTCAATGATCTGCACAACATTGTAAGGGTATTTCATTGCAGCCACTTGATCTTCCAAGTGAAATCTCTAGTGTGTCTCACAGTCCCTTATCAGGATTACTATTCCTTCCGCCCAGCCCTTCTGCAATGCTAATGCCCAAAATAAAGCAAATCTAGATTTCCTTGCGTTCTGAATCTCACATCTCACTGGTGATTCTTTTCAATTTATTAGTATTTCTTTCTATCAAAATTATATTCAGAGACCAAGCATAAGTCTAATGGTATCTCCTGTGGCTGCTTTGGATGTTTGGGATGCTTATGGTCCTGTGCCCACTTGCACAAAGCGATCTTAACGCTACGACTATCTTAAGCCTATGTTGGAGAATGGGAGTTACAATCATTGTAGCACTAAGATCGCTTTGTGCAAGGGGTCCAGGCTTTTAAATGTTGTCACGTGGTATGCTTTGTTTTGTTGGTTTGTTTAACGCTGCACACAGCAATATTCCACCTATATGGCGGTGGTCTGTAAATAGCCGAATCTGATCCAGACAATCCAGTGGTCAACAGCATGAGCATTGATCTACGTAACTGGGATACGATGACGTGTGTCAACCAAGTCAGCGAGCCTGACCACCGATCCCGTTAGTCGCCTCTTACGACAAGCAAGGGCTACTGAAGATCAATATTCTAACCCCGATCTTCACAGGTGATCATCCAAGTGATATCTTTAGTCTGTCTCATAGTTTCTGAACCACATTATTTGTCCTTCTGCCCAGCCCTTTCTGCAATGCGAAATCCATAAATAAAGCAAAGCTAGATTTCCTCAGGTTCTGAATCTCCCAACCCACTGATGATCCTTTTCAATTTGAAAGGAATTATGTTTTTTTCTACGAAAATTATATATATACATAGACCACGCCTTAGTCTAGTGATATCTCCTGTGGCAGTTTAAGATGTTTTGGATGGTTAAGTGTGTTACATATGCCCATGGTCCTGGCTTGCTACATGTTCTCACATAGTATGACTGACTGACCGAGTTTGGCTTTACGCCGCTTTTAGCAATATTCCAGCAATATCACGGCGGGGAACGGTTATCTCCCATTTGACAGACACCCATTTGACAGACACCCAGTTGGCAGACACTGAGCAAGAAGGTTAATTAGGGTAACACCTACGGGTATAATGGAACAGTCCACTGTCTAGTGAGTGGAGGAGGCTGAGCTTGTAACAGGTTCGTTATTGAGAAGCTTGGTTTGGTTGTGTGTAAATAAAACTTTGTTGTGATTAAATGATAATCTGTTTTCTCTTCTCGAAATTGTTTTACTATCAATTACTATCGAATAGAGGTTTGTCACTGTGTTTATACAGAACTTGGTAGCCGTTTAATGATAATCTGTCTTCTCTTCTCACTTTGTTTTAGTATCAATTGATCTTTGTATGAGGAAAGATCTTAAGAGACTTTTAAACCTGTTGTTTAAAACAAGGATTAATTAATTAATTTTATCAATAGACTAATTTGAAATTTGACTCAACAAATATATAAAATGTTGCAAAACATATCTGTTCGTTATCAATATGGCTGGAGAGTGGAACATCTGATGTCACAGAGAGGGGCCCCTCATATTCTTCTGGATGGTTATGTTTACACCAGAAATAAGGTCAGACAGAGACAAGTGATGGACGTCGTTTTCTTCTTCTTTGTGATGGAGAACAAGATAAGATTCTGGTGTTCTCTACCACTGA